CCCCCCCCGCCTCACCTCCCTCAGCGCCGCCGCCGCCGCTCCTCCCTAAGGGGCTCCGCCGCTCTCCGGGCGAGGCGACCCGCAGGGCGCGGGGGCAGGTGGCATGAGCCCCCCCCCCGGGATGCTGAAGGATGGAGAAGGAGGAGGAGGATGATGATGAGGAGGAGGAATTATCCCTGTTCTGCTCGCCCTCTGTACGTTCTGGCGGGGGGGGGCTCCGTGCTTTGGCGTGTCCCGTGTTTCCCGCCGCCCCCCCCCCTTCAAGCTCACGGGGAGGGTAAAGAAAAAAGGGCGCCGGGCCCGGCGGGCTGATACACGCGCGCGGCGCCCGCAGCCGCACCACACACACACACACCACACATACACACACACACAAAAAAGGGGACCTGGCCGGCGGAGGGATACGGTGACGTCATTTCCTCCTGCGCGCGGTGACGTCACGGGGGGGCGGCCCTGAGGGGGCCGAGGGGGGGAAATGGCGCCCGGCGGGGCGCGACCCCCGCGCCGCCCTCACCGGCCTCTCGCGGCGCCGCGGGGGACGCGGGGCATGAGATCCGTCTAGGGGTGAGGGGAGCGGCGCCGAGGAGCCGCCCGCCCCCCCGAGCCCGGCCCGGGGTGTCCCGGAGCCGGGCCTGAGCCGCCCGCCACCCCCTGAGGGCTGTGAGGGGCTGTGAGGAGGGGTCAGCCCTCAGGTGAGGAGGAGGAGGAGATTGGCCTTAAGGTGCTCCCTGTCAAAAATCCCTCGCCTGGGGCAGGTGTTGCCTTCACCTGGTCTGGCCTTACCTGGATTCCTGGAACCTGCTGCCTTCACGAGCAGGATTACCCCTCATTTACAGCCTTTCAGCGACTTTTCAGAACCTTTTCAGCACCTTTACCAGCTCAGAAGGGGCTCAGGAAAAGGGAAAGTGACTGTGGCACTGGCAGGGGGTGACAGGACAGTGGGTTCTGTTATTATTATTAATAATAATAATAATTTGGGATAAATTTAGCTACTGATAAATTTAAATGTAATTAACATTCTTTAAATCCGGGCTTTGAAAGCATCCACATAACCCAGCCTTTAATTCCCACATGAAGTTCTGAGTTTCCCCATCCTTTCGCCCAAAGAACACGTTTCTTTATGGAAATAAATATTTTTACCCCTTCCTAAAATTCTTTTCCCAGACTCCTCAGGAAGCGAAAGCAAAATGTTGTTGTTTCACCTCAAAAAAAAAAAAAAAGAAGAATTTGGGGAATCCTCCATTAAATCTTTTTCCTTGGTGCTCTGCACAAATGGGTCACTGTGCTGCCTGAGGATGCTCATTAATTGGTTCTGTGCTCAATTTAATCCTCAAATATGTCGTAACTCCTTTCCATGGACTAGGAAAAAACTGGATTTTCATCAGTTCAGAGCCTGAAATTCCTCGTTTTCCACCCAGATTTCCTGGGTTGGGTTGGGGTGTTCAGAGAGGGAGAAGTTGGTTGGATCTGTTCTGTGGCCAGAATGAAAATCTGGGGGCAGTGGAAGGGTCTGAGCCATTTCAGGATTACAATTCATTCTTTTCAGGGTGTTTTTATACAAAAAAAAAATGAGTCTAATAAAGAGGAGGGACCCAACATTCCCTGTTTTATGCCAATATCAGCTCCAGGACATGAGTTAAACTGGACACTTTTCCATTCTGCCTGTAGGTGAAAGGCTGCCTGTCATTGTTGGCAGCTCCAGTGTGCAACTTAAAGGTTGAAAACAAAGGTTTTTCCCCATTATATCCACCCTGGAAGGATCTGGATCCGAGATCTGACACAGAATCCATCAAACCAGGTGAGAGGATGAGCTTGAAATGAAATCCTGGGCTTAAAGCCTGGGTTTGTTCCCCATTGCTCAGGAAATGCAGTGGAATTTGGGGTGGGATGGGTATTGTGGATCCTCTGCTTCCAGACCTGCTTTTTTTTGGGGAATAAACCCAAATTCTCCATCCTGTGCAGCACTTAATGAACTAAAAATCAGGGTGGTGAGACTTGCAGGGAAGGTTTGCTGTGTCAACAAGGATCCAGGCAGGTTGCTCTGAGCCAAGCTCAGATTTTATCTCCAGGAATAATTTGGATTTTGGATGCCAGGGAAGAAAGTCTGGGGCCAAAAACCCAGCGGGTTTGGCCTCCTCCACGCTCTTGTTGTGCTGCTATAAATAGAATTTTGCATTCTAATTGCCTCCCTGGGGAGGAGGAATGCCGAGGTGTTGATAAAAGGGTTCTCCTCTGATAAAGGAGATGGGATTAATTCCCAAATGCTGGATGCAAAAAAGGCTTTGGGAATCGTTGGAGCTGTGCCCGAGGAGGGGGGGAAATCCCCCAAAAAATTGTAAATGCACGTGGTTCTCTTGCTAAAAAATACCAATAGTAACTTTAAACCTCTGCAGTAACAAAAGGACGATCCCAGTCGTGTTTTCTGCTCTTCCTGGTGGTTTCTGCAAAAGGCAGGGAAGCGGGACAGGGGGGTGAAATGTGGGATCCCCTCCTGAAAATGCTTTTGGAAGCGAGAGAGGTAACATTGCCCGGGGAAAACCGAGCGCATTCCTTGGAAAAACTCGGCGGGAAGCAGCAGAGTCATTCTCAGCAGGGCCGGTTCAGCCGATCCCAGCTGGAATCGAGAGCGAAATCCAGATTTTCCAGCCCTCGGGGCAGCCGCCGAACTTGAAAGGATCTTCTCCGAGAGGGAATTCCCGGTGGTTTTTTTTTTCCAGCCGGCGAGTTTTCCTTTCCGGAGCTGCCCCGCTCGGTGCGTTACTGTTGCAGCCGAGCTGGGATCCGGGCTGGCATTCCCGGGCTGGCATTCCCGGACTTTTTGGGCGGAATCCCGAGTTTTTTGAGCAGAACCGTTTCCTGAAAGCTGTTCTGGAATTTCCAGATATTCCCGGGAGAAGGAGGAGGCGCAGGTGGAAAGCGCGGCAGCGGCGGGGGACAGAAGTTCCCTCCGCTCTTCCCGAGGGGACTCCAGGTTGGATTTTCGTCCTTCCCGAGCTCCGGCCGCGCTGGATCCTCCCCTTGGCAGCTCCCCCGGGCCCGCCCGCCCCTTCAGAACCCTCGAGGCTCCACAAAAACCCCTCTCCGGGCGGCCCAACTTCCCATTCCCAACCTCTCCAACATGGGTAAGAGCTCCAGCCCTGGATCCAACCCCGGATCCCGCCGGGATTTGGGCTCGGGGTGGGGGGTTCAGCCTTTCCCGTTCCTTTTTCATCGAACCCTCCGCGGGTTTAGAGCTTTGATCCCACCCCCGGACGCCTGTTGGGCTCTGATTAAGTGTCTCTTTTAGTCCCTCGGCGTTTAAAACCTAAATAAACGCTCCCTGCTCGCGGGCACGGAACGCTGAGGGAGATTGCTGGGGGAGGGAGGACCTGAATTGACCTTTTTTGCTTCTATTTGATGTATATTTTTAAGGACGGACCCCCCCCCGATTTCCATTCTTGGCTCCGGGGACGGGAAGCAGAGGGAGGGACTAAAGAGTTTGGACACTCGGTTGTGAAATGTTGTGCAGTTTGCCAGGAATTCTGTCACCTTGGGGCTGCAAAACAGGGAAGGGTTGGAAGGTTTGGGTAAAAAACGTGATTCTGCCCGGGTTAAAAGCCATCGATTGGGTAAAAAAACAGCGATTCTGGCTCAGCAGGAGAGTGTATCCTGGTGGGAATGTTAGTGCTTAGCAAAGCACCAAGATATAAATGTCCCATAATTTAAAAAAAATCATTATTTTCCCTTTGTTTCTGCCTCTTAAGTTTAATTTTTCAGCCTGTGCTCCCGAGTTTTGTCTTGGGTGGGAAGGACATTAAAGCCCATCCCATTCCAGGGCAGGGACACCTTCCCCTATCCCGGGTTGCTCCAACCTGGCCTTGGACACTTCCAGGGCTGGGGCAGCCACAAATTCCCTGGAAAACCAGGCCCTGGTCCCCCTTGCTGGGAAGAATTCCTTCCCAACGTCCCCCCTGGCAGTGGGAAGCCATTCCCTGTGTCCTGTCCCTCCATCCCAGGTCCCTCTCCAGCCCTCCTGGGGTCTGTCCAGAGCCTTCCCTTCTCCAGGCTGCACATTCCCAGATCCCACCTGGCTCCGGAGCAGGAGCAGCTCCAGCCCTTGGAGCGGCTCCGGGGCCTCCTCTGGGCTCTCTCCAGAGCTCCAGGACTTCCCAGGGGGAGAAGCTGTGGAAAAACAACTGCTGCACTTGCAGTTCCCAGCTGGAAGGAGTGGGAATGAGGGTGGAATCCCTGGTGGGAGGGCAGAGCCAGGGAGCTGAGCTTTTCCTCCTGGTCCATCCCTCCTTTTCCAGGCTCTGAATCCTGAAAAAAAAAAAAATATCCCCACTTTTCCAGCATTTCCGTGCAGGGAAAGCCCAGAGGCTTTCCAGGAATAACCCCGTGGGCTGTTCCCGTTGGGAATTCTGCTGGGAATTCTGTCTCCTCGCTCCCCTGGCAGCTCCCTCAAATACTGGACACCCTTTTCCCACATCCCAGACCTCTGGCACAGACAAAAGCCCTTGGAAAAGGGGAGGCTGAACTCCTCGAAGGCCCCAGCTTCCCGTTTTTCTTGAGGATGGAGCATCACACCGTGGATATTTCCTGGAATAACCCTGGAGCCAGCAATTAAAAACTGGAGTTCAAATTCCTCCCCCTCTCCATGCAAACCCCACACTCCTCTTAGAGATGTTGAAATAATTGGATTTTTTCTCTCTCTCTCTCCAATCAGCAAAATGTGGAGCCTGTGGACCAGGATATGCAAGTCCTCTGGATGCCATGAAAGGCAAGTTCTGGGACAGCTTCCCTAAAAACCCAGGCCAGCAGCAGTGGAATTATTTTGGAATTAGGGGAAGGCAAGGTGGATGCCTCCCTGAGTGGCATGTGTGAAATATAGAAAGTATATGAAATATATAAAGTGTGTGAAATATATAATGTGAAATATAGAAAGTATGTGAAAGATATAAAATATATAAAATATATAAAGTATATGAAATATATAAAGTATGTGAAATATATAAAGTATATTAAATATATAAAATATATTAAATATATAAAGTATGTGAAATATAGAAAGTACATGAAATATAGAAAGTATATTAAATATATAAAGTATATGAAATATAGAAAGTGTGTGAAATAAAGTATATGAAATATATAAAAAATATGTGAAATATATAAAGTATGTGAAATATGTAAAGTATATGGAATATATAAAGTATATGGAATATATAAAGTATATGAAATATATAATATGAAATATATAATGTGAAATATATAAAACATATAAAACATACAGAACATATAAAACATACAGAACATATAAAATATATAAAACATATAAAATATATAAAACATATAAAATATATAAAATATATAAAATATATAAAATACATAAAATATATAAAATATAAAGGCCTCCTTTATAAAAAGCCAAAAGCAAAGGCTACACTCAGCTTTACCTCCTGGGAAGAATCCCAACTCCCAGACGGGTGAAACCCTCCAGTTCCTTTCAATGTCCCCAGGTTTTTTTGGTAAAACTGAGGGTTTTTGGTGCCTCTGTGCCCGCAGGTCCCCGGGAGGAGCTGCTCTACCTGCCCTGCATCTACAGGAACACGGGGATCCAAAAGCCTGACTACCTGGCCACGGTGGATGTGGACCCCAAATCCCCCCACTACTGCCAGGTACCTGCTGGGGGGGGAATATTTGGATTCCCAGAGTCCTTGACAAGCAAATATTTGTGTGGGGGAAGCCACGAAAGCCTCTGCTTTAAATTTTCTTACTCCAAAATTAACATTTCTCTTCCATCTCTTCGCCTTCCAGGGCGTTTTTAATTTTTATTTATTTTTTTTTTTGTGACATTTACATTCAGCCCTGGAAGGTTTGAGAGTTCCTTGGGACATCTCACCCCCACACAGCAGGAATTGGAAGCTAATCCCTGGATTTCACAGCAGCAGAGATTCCTGGCTGACAAACAGCCCTTTCCTCCTCCTTTTGTGCCTTCCCACCGGGACACAACGACCCATTTCCTTGCCATTGAGACCCTTTGCTTTGCCTGGGGGAAAAAACCCCAGAGCTGGCTTTGGAGCCTGGATTTCCAGGATTTCCCTGATTTCCAGGTGATCCACCCTGGCTTTAGAGCCCTGATTCCCCTGATTTCCCCGTTTTCCAGGTGATCCATCGCCTGCCCATGCCCAACCTGCAGGATGAGCTGCACCACTCCGGCTGGAACACCTGCAGCAGCTGCTTTGGGGACTCCAGGAAAAGCAGGAATCTCCTCATCCTTCCAGCCCTCATCTCCTCCAGGATCTACGTGGTGGATGTGGGAACAGACCCCAGGGCTCCCAGGCTCCACAAGGTTCACATCAGATTTTTATTTCTCTTTTTTTTTTTTTTAATACCCAAGAGACTCCAAGGATTCCAACTTCCAGAACATTCATGGAAACCTCTGTCCAGCATTAATTAGGAACTGGTGGGAGCTTTTATTGATAAACTCCACACAAAACCATTGTCCCAAAGAGACACAAGTAAATGTGGTGAATTTTAAATTAAAATTAATTTAAAAAGTTCCCCACCTGCCTCTGCAGTATTTCAGTCACAGTTATTGTTTTTGACTACAAGAGGCACGTTTGGCTGACTGCGTTTTCCGGGGCTAAATTCAAATTTCTGTTGGATTTTCCATGATCAAACCCAGAAGGGACACCCCCTCTTTGATTTGTAACCCTTGGTTCCCAAACATGTGCTTTTTTGAACAGCAAAAATTAAGGGAACATTTTAAATATGTCAAAATGAACATTTCTTTACGTCTCTTTTTCGTGGAAATGATTGAAATTTCCCCAAAATAAACCTTCTGCTGCCACAGGGTTTGTTTGGCAGAGACACAGACCTGGCAAAGAGAGGTTTGGATCTGAATCCCTGGTTTTTCCCACGTGGAATTCTTTGGGTTTTCCCGTTCCAGGTGGTGGAGCCGACGGAATTGTTCGGGAAGGGGAACGCGGCCAACCCTCACACCTCCCACTGCCTGGGCTCTGGGGACATCCTCATCAGCTGCCTGGGAGACCCTGCTGGCAATGGCAAAGGTGCTGAGCCCCTCCTCTGGCTCCAGGGAAAGGATTCCTGGCTCCAGGGAAAGGATTCCTGGCCCTCCTTGCTCCAGGGAAAGGATTCCTGGCCCTCCTGGCTCCAGGGAAAGGATTCCTGGCCCT